TTTTTTTTTTTTTTTTTGTTTCATTCGTACAATATACTTTTTCCACCCCTTGTGCATTCACCAATCTTTTTCGCATCAGGAAATCGAAAAGCCATTACCCACGGTCGCATTTACATAACACCGTAATTACTGCATGAAAGCGCGTCGCCCATAATCGGAGATTGGTTCTGTCCGTCCGCCATTTGTTGTTGAATCGTAATTATTGCTGCTGTTCATCGGTTTGTTCGGCGAAACGAACGACACGAACGCATTGATATTTTAATCGTGCCATTTAGCATTTCATCAAATAAATGTTACCTAAAGTGAGAATTAACTACCCTTTGTATACCATTGTTCTGTTACATCCGATATTCAGAATTGTTATGCTTAAATCATCTATATGAAAAGTACATAATAATTTGTTTACCAAATTATTAATTAATACATAATTAGCTGCATACAATTAACATGATTTGAAATAATAACTATGACTTACCTATGTAAATTAGTCTGCAATGAATAATGATTACGAACTTATTTCTGACAAATGTTTGGGAGATTCCATTTTGTCCTTCAACTTATTATTTAGTTACTTTTGTTAGGGAAATAATAGGAAGAAGGATATAAATTAAAGTTGGCAATGTTTTACTGTCATAACGCTCCATAACAACCAATGACTTTAAAGATCAAATTAAAAACGTTAGATGCCGCATTGAACATTAATTGTTGTATATAATAAGTGTGCATAACCTACAAAGTCTGGATTTACCATTATATCATTATTATATATGATTCCATAAGTTATGGTAATATCTACTTAAGTCTAATATTTTAAAGACCATAGTATATAAAAAAAATAATCCTAAAATTTGTCTTTCGCATTTACTAACCTATAATTTCCCTAACAAAAGTAACTAAATATTAAGATATAATTTAAAGTTGGTACTGTTTTACTGTCACAGCGCTTCATGACAACCAAACTACATGTTATAAAACTTTATTGCTTATATAATACGAAGTCTGGATTTATCATTACTATATTTAACAAGACTAATATTTTAGAGACTTTAGTATATATAAAATTAAGCTAAAAAATTTACTAGCCTATAATTTCCTTAACAAAAGTAACTAATGATAGAGATAAAAAATTAAGTTGGTATAATTTATTTGGTTAATTATTTTAAAAAAAATGTAAAAAATAATATTAACTTTACCTAATAAAAGGTAAAGTATTCAAATACATATTTTTGCTATTCTCTATTTAGTGGAACGACCTTATTTCTAACAAATATTTGGGAGATTCTATTAGACGACATTAAACATTTTGACCTTCAACTTTTTATTTGACATACGCAATGTCTACAGAGATGTCAAAGAAATAATAATTTCCCCTAACAAAAGTAACTAAATAGAAGGATATAAATTAAAGTTGGCAATGTTTTACTGTCATATCGCTCCATGACAACCAATGATTTTAAAGTACAAATTAAAAACGTTAGATGCCGCATTTAACATTAATTGTTGTATATAATAAGTTTGCAAAACCTACAAAGTCTGGATTTACCATCATATCATTAAAATATATGGTTCCATAGGTTATGGAAATATCTAATTAAGTCTAATATTTTAAAGACCATAGTATATAAAAAGAATAATCTTAAAATATATCTTTCGCATTTACTAACCTATTATTTAATTTAAAGTACTGTTTTACTGTCACAGCGCTTCATGACAACCAAACTACATGTTAAAAAACTTTAAATGACATATGACATTTATTGCTTATATAATACAAAGTCTGGATTTATCATTACTATATTTAACAAGACTAATATTTTAAAGACTTTAGTATATATAAAATTAAGCTAAAAAATGTATTAGCCTATAATTTCCTTAACAAAAGTAACTAATGATGGATACAAAAAATTAATTTGGTATAATTTATTTGATTAATTATTTAAAAAGAAACTATAAATATTTTAACTTTACATAATTGAATGTCAAGTATTCAAATACATATTTTTGCTGTTCTCTATTTAGTGGAAATCATATTTAATATTTATTTACATCAATAATGATTGTTTATACGATGTTTCAGTTTTTTTTATGTTTTACATTATTTTTTGACAACTTTTCAAATTTAACTTTCAGTTATAATATGATTGATAACAGAATAGACTATTAAGATTCAATATCGGATCATTCGGAATAATAGCTGTTGACGATACGTAATCCTCTTACATCATTTTTTTCCCTTCATCTTTCGTTGCGATATGAAGTTTTGGGAGTTGCAGATAAAGCGAGAAGCAAGTGAATATATAAAAAAAAAGAATGAATAAGCTGAGTCCATCTATCATACACTTTTTTTTGTCGTTCGCGTTTTCTCATTCTAACTTTTTTTTCTTTTGGCAGTTACGTATTCGATACGTAATATGAGACGAAGTTGTATATATTGGCAGCACCTAGAGGCGTTATGTATAAGGGGCCTAAGCATATAATCCCAATGTGCGCGAGATGTGTGTTGGGTGGAGGATGGGTGATGGGGGGTTTTTGGGCGACGCTTTGTGCCTTTGCCCTCTATTATATAAAGAGGGTGACATCTGTCGTTTACCTGGTTGCTCCCTTTCCCGAAGACATCTTAATCAAATTTCTAGCCGATACATCCAGAATATTGAGAGGATTACCGTTGCCTAGGACATTGAATATGCAACACGTGACCTCCCTTTGCGAACACACAATGTTCCACATTATGGAGTTATAATACACACCCAGGCAGCACCCATTCGTCTGTCCTTCCATCCATCCCTTTCGGAAACAACCCCACCTTTGTAGACATGACCGTACTAATAAAAGAAAAATATAAATATTCATATTCTCTACTAATCTCTGCTATTTTATACTATTCTCTATCATCCTTTATCATCCTATACCATCCTATATCAATCTCTACCATCTTCCTCTACCATTTTCTACTATCCTCTAACATCCTCTACCATACTCTATCATCATCTACCATCCTTTATCATTATTTACCATTATCTACTATAATCTACCATTCTTCATTATCCTACACCATCCTCTATCATCCTTTACCATCCTCTACCATCATTAACATACTCTAACATCATCTACCATTCTCTATTATCCTACATCAGTTTTTTCCATTATCTAACATGCTCTACCATCCTCTTCTATCCTCTACCATCCTCTACCATCCTCTACCATCCTCTACCATCCTCTACCATCCTCTACCGTCCTCTACCATTCTCTATCATTCTCTATTATCCTACACCATTATCCTACACCAATATCTACTATCATCTACCATTCTCTATTATCCTACACCATTATTTACCATCCACTACCACCCTCTGCCATCATCTACCAACCTCTACCATTCTCTGCCATCCTATACCATCCTCTACCATCCCTTACCATACTCTATCATCCTATACCATCTTCTATTATCCTCTATCATCCTCTACCATCCTTTATCATCATCTATCATTATCTACTATCATCTACCATCATCTACCATATTCTAACATCATCTACCATTCTTTATTTTCCTACTCCATTATCTGCCATCCTCTACCAATATCTACCATACTCTACCAACCTCTACCATACTCTACCATCCTCTATTATCCTCTACCATCCTTTATCATCATCTACCATTATATACTATAATCTACCATCATCTACCATATTCTAACATCATCTACCATTATTTATTATCCTACACCATTATCTACCATCCTATACCATCCTATACCATCCTCTACCATCCTATACCATCCTCTACCATTCTCTGTCATCCTCTACCATCCTTTATCATCATCTACCATTATCTACTATAATCTACCACCATCTACCATCATCTACCATATTCTAACATCATATACCATTCTCTATTATCCTACACCATCCTCTACCATCCTCTGCTATCCTCTACCATCATCTACCATACTCTAACATCATCTATCATTATCTATCATCCATATTATGTACCATCCTCTACTATCCTCCACCATTTTCTATCATTATCTACCATCCACCACCACAATCTACCATTCTATACCATGCATCTTCATCCTCTACCGGCCTCCACCATCCTCAACAATTGCATATTTCTTCTAAATAAACTTCTATTACATTGAACTAATTTCAATTATTATTCCAATTTCCTTTTCTTCGTATGTTTTAATTCAATTGAAATAAGAAAAAAACGTTTGGTAAAATCTAATGAGAATGTTTGTTAATCAAGAACATAGATTAAGTAGATGATTTTAGCTGCATGCCTGTTTCGAAATCATGTAACCCCTAACAATTGACACAGAGGCGCACGCAAATCCTCTTACACGTATCTGTAACATACACAAATTATGTATTGAATTTGTCAGTCGGATGCACATAGCGCCGGCAATTACGAAGCGCCGCAAGATATTCAAATCATCCCCCATTCTGAATCCGAGATGGTTATTAATGTAGCGTCTGGTGAGGGCGATGAGGGATAGAGATGGACTCGTTCAAGTGTCCAATTGAACGTTGTTGTATTTGAGTGGACGTCGGTGCTCTCCTCTTCATCTCGATGCATTCGAGTGCTGCAGCCCAAGAATAATTACTCTAACGAAGCAACACCAACCAAAACATAACCAAATACCTCCCCCCTACCCCACAAACATAATTAACCTATCTCGAAAACCCCTTCCACAGAACCCTCATTTAATTTTCATACAAATATTATATTCGGCGAATTATCCGTAATGCATTTAACATTTTGCCCCCATTCTCTTGCTGTACTCTCTTGCATAATGTAATTCATTGAAAACAACATCATAATTATTGTTATTATGTTCATAAATAACGAATTCTGAAGCGAAACTCCGGCACAACTATTTATTCGTTCTCGTTCGATATTACATATATCGGTTAATATCAAACATAATTTATAATTAAACAACATCGCAAAATCTACAACGTGTTTTCATGTATAAATGCTTTACAATTTCGAAATTAAACATCCCATTCATTCCCAATTTAGATTTTACGTTAATAAATATTTTAACATAATTATCTACTAATTAGAAGAGTACGTCTATAAAAGTAATACCAATACAAATAATTTAAGCACTCAAATCAGATCCGAATATTGAGGAAAATACAAAATAGTTGCAAAATATATTTTGTGATTTTGTATTCCTTCATGAAATTTCAATTGATTTTATGGTAAAAATCAGGATTAATTATTTAATTAATGCAGATGTGCTCTTCCAAAATTTGATACCTCATCCGGCTTGCGCACACATCCGATCTCTTAGGGTTTAGGTTAGCTGGAAACTACCAAACTTATTGATAATTAACAAAGCGGAAAGTGAAATCCGATGTCGAAATTTAATATTAATTATACGTTCTGCACAAAGTTGTGCACTATCTCAAGGCGTTTCCTATTGATTCGTTGCAATCTATAGCATTTGCATTAAACATTAATTTTTGAACAGCTTTAATTGCTACAAAATAATTTATACATTATAATCTACCCTCTGAACATAAATAATGATTAGTTTTAGTTTTGTCACATAATTTATCCATTATCCAAAACAAATAAACATATAAATTACATAATTAATTTTTCATAACAGATATTTACTATTAACTATTTAAAATTTAAAAAAAATGTAAGTTTTTAAACTAATTTCTAAATATTACTTTATAAGAAGATGTTAAAACGAACTTGGTAAGAGGAAGAGAAATCATAGTAAATAGGATATAAAGTCACCAAAGATCGTTTAAAGCTTTTGTTAGGTGGGAATACATCCGGAAGCTTCGAATTAAAGCCTGCGCGGAGCGGAAAATCCAATGCTTCTTAAATCCTATTAAAAATGCTCTCCCTGTTTTATAAAGTTTCGGAAAGAACACAAAGATTTATGTGTCAGTTATTACAACGATTTAGTACAAAATAAATATGCAATTTAGTTAAAAATTAATTATTTAATGAAGAAAGTAAAAAAAATAAACATTTTCACAAAAATATTGGATTTTCGTAGATTGGATCCAAATAGTATTAACTATACAGCAATACCTCGCATAGTGCGGCTTCGTTTCACTATAGACCGGTTTGAAAATCATTCAAAGCAAATTAAATTTTTATAAACCAAATAAATTCGGAGAAATAAATTATTTTGAATACATAAATTATATTTTTATTTTTATGCGGTTTTAAAATCGATTATTTGGACTATGTAAGGTATTGTTGTATTTATTGTAGTTCTTGTTGTAAATTCCTTTATGTGATTTTAAAGTCATCTAATTGTCCGGTTTTAAATAATCTGATAGAACCGTTTACCCGGACTATGCGAAGTATTGTTGTATTTACTGTAGTTCCCATTGTAAATTTCATAACGCGATTTTAAAGTCCTGTAATAGTCCGGGTTTAAACTGTCTGACAGAATCGTTTATCCGGATTATGCGAGGTATTGTTGTATTTATTGTGGTTCTCATTGTAAATTCCATTATGCGATTTTAAAGTCATCTAATAGTCCGGTTTTAAACAGTCTGATGGAACCGTTTACCCGGACTATGCGAGGTAGTATTGTATTTATTGTAGTTCTTGTTGTAAATTCCTTTATGTGATTTTAAAGTCATCTAATTGTCCGGTTTTAAATAATCTGATAGAACCGTTTACCCGGACTATGCGAAGTATTGTTGTATTTACTGTAGTTCCCATTGTAAATTTCATAACGCGATTTTAAAGTCCTGTAATAGTCCGGGTTTAAACTGTCTGACAGAATCGTTTATCCGGATTATGCGAGGTATTGTTGTATTTATTGTGGTTCTCATTGTAAATTCCATTATGAGATTTTAAAGTCATCTAATAGTCCGGTTTTAAACAGTCTGATGAAACCGTTTACCCGGACTATGCGAGGTAGTATTGTATTTATTGTAGTTCTTGTTGTAAATTCCTTTATGCGATTTTAAAGTCACCTAAGAGTTCGGTTTTAAATAGTCTGATGGAACAGTTTAACCGGACTATGCGAAATATTGTTGTATTTATTGTAATTCTTGTAGTAAATTCCATTACGCGATTGTAAAATCCTCTAAAAGTTAGAGTTCAAACAATCTGATGGAACCGATTACCCGGACTATGCGAAGTATTGTTGTATTTACTATAGTTCCTGTTGTAAATTTCATAACGCGATTTTAAAGTCCTGTAATAGTCCGAGTTTAAACAGTCTGATGAAATCGATTATCCGGACTATGCGAGATATTGTTGTATTTATTGTAATTCTTGTTGTAAATTTCATAACTCGATTTTAAAGTCCTGTAATAGTCCGGGTTTAAACTGTCTGACGGAATCGTTTATCCGGACTATGCGAGGTATTGTTGTATTTTTTGTGGTTCTCGTTGTAAATTCTATTATGCGATTTTAAAGTCATCTATTAGTCCGGTTTTGAACAATCTGACGGAACCATTTACCCGGACTATGCGAGGTATTATTGTATTTATTGCATTTTTCGTTGTAAATTCCATAATCCGATTTTAAAGTCCTGCAATAGTCCGGCTTATACAGTCTGACGGAACCGATTATCCGGACTAAGCGAGGTATTGTTGTAATTATTGTAGTACAATGTAAATTCCATTACGCCATTTTAAAATCATCTAATAGTCCGGTTTTGAACAATCTGACGGAACCATTTACCCGGACTATGCGAGGTATTATTGTATTTATTGCATTTTTCGTTGCAAATTTCATAATCCGATTTTAAGTCCTCTAATAGTCCGTTTTAAAACATTGCTGTTTTTTTAGTAGTTCCGTAGTAAATTCCATTAAGCGATTTTAAAGTTCTGTAACAGTCCGATTCTAAATAGTCTAACGGAACCGATTACCCGGACTGTGCGAGATATTGTTGTATATATTGTAATTCTTGTTGTAAATTCCATTATGCGATTTTAAAATCCTCTAAAAGTCAGAGTTCAAACAGTCTGACGGAACCGATTACCCGGACTATGCGAGGTATTGTTGTATTTACTGTAGGTCTCGTTGTAAATTCCGTTAGGTGCATCGAAATTAATAATGCAGAAACAACAGTAGCTATTTTTTCGTTACCTGTTCCATCGTGATCCACAGAAGCAGGTTCATTATTGATTCCGTTTCATCTTGGAAATCCGATTACATAACGCCGGGCAATTACAATGGAGCTACTACTACTACTACTGCTAGCACGTAGTTTTATTCCTCTCTTCTTTTTCCACACTCACGGATCTCGCACTCGTTCGGAACGAAATGGTATTTGCAATGGGCGATGTTTTATGTGCGCGAAATTCGGAAGTAATTCCGGGGGGCAAAAGTTGAATAATTAAAGTTTCGCTACAAAGGGAAAGAGAGAATGTGTATCAGAATGTGAGCGAATTTGAGAGAGAGATAGAGATAGAGGGCGAACTGTTTGTTTTTCCAGCTTCGGCTCATGCACCCACATTTCGTTTTATCCTGCCTAGCACTTTTCCCCATTTTACTTACCAACGTTTCTGTTCCAATGTGTGTCGT